TTGTTTTAACACATAAATAATTTATTGTCAATTAGATATTGACCTATTCCCCAACGCGGTTGTTTGTCTTTTCTTGATAAGAGTTAAACTAAAAATGGTTTTATGGGTCTGACTTTTATCATGTGTTATTATGTCCATAATAGTAAATACCCTGTAAATAAAGCGACAAAACCCTTTCCATATCCAATAGAAGTCTCTGCATAAAGCAGAGTCGATTGTACGATTCCGACTATATCATAAGCATGTGTTTATGAATCACCATCAAATAGTGATGATACCAGGTGTTCGCGAAAAGGTAAGGTAGTCTGACCCACCAGGGGCACCCGTTATTAACACATGCAAAGGCAAGTCAATTGTTCACCTGAAAAAACACGGAAACATAGGTACAAGTCAAAATAGGGAATTGCATCGGACATAATTTTGGTAACTGATATGTCAAATTTGGAAATGTCCTCCACATGTCTACAATAAAACTTTTTGAAAGCTTTACTGGTGCCTTGAATGTTTTAACCTTGGTCAAACAACTTCTGACCAAGAGTCGTATAACTCTCTTTAAAATCTTTGTAAAAAGGGCATGCTCGATTGTATCTCAAAAGTTGTGAAATATAAACACCAAAGGCTATAGCTGCTGGAATATTGCTCGACATGAAGGGAAAGTTGACTATTGGAAAGTTGAAGTCATCCCTCTTGTCATACAGTCTTGTGGAGAGTGTTTTGCAACTCTGAATCTTTAGGGTTGGTTGGTTGGTTGGTTGGTTGGTTTGTTGTTTAACGCCGCACTCAGCAATATTCCAGCTATATGACGGCGGTCTGTAAATAATCGACTCTGGACCAGACAATCCAGTGATTGACATCATAAGCATCGATCCACGCAATTGGGATCGATGACATGCATCAACCAAGTCAGCGAGCCTGACCACCCGATCCCGTTAGTCGCCTTTTACGACATGCATAGTCGCCTTTTACGGCAAGTATCGGTTGCTGAAGACCTATTCTACCCCGGAATCTTCACGGGTCAGATCTAAATATGAAACAGATGAGGCGGTCTCACTGGTCTCCGTTATTTCTAGTTCAGATGGATAAATCAGTGGAAAGGAATTGCCTATTTGATGGTTATTGAACGACACCAGAACTTCAACTTACCTGAAGCTTAATTTAAACTTCTTGGCCAAATTACCTTGTTTTGACTTTGCCAATCCGAGCAGAAATTCCGATTCATATACCTAAAGAAACAGATCCGCAAGAAGGGGAGCACTATTGGTGCTCATCGGGATGCCTACTTCTTGCCTCAAGGTCCTACCCCAAAATTTTACGTAGATGTTATCAATGTTGAAGTCCAGCATTTCACATATTGTCTTGATAAACTTCAGTAGGCATTCGCTTTCGTTTTTCACAAATTGTCCTGAACCTCTGATATAGATACGTAACTGTATCTGTGTTCACCGAGTTTTGTAACAAAAACCCCATGAATCAAGGAGTGCGTTTTCGCTTAAATGTGTCATGTGAGATAGTGGTGTACAGTTGAAAAATCAAATATTTTGACAGAATGGAACTTGGTTCTTTACTGAGATTGCAAAAGGTTAAGCCAATCCTTTGAGCTTTTAAGAATCCACATGGTATTAATTCCACTGGTCTCAACATATATCTCTTTGTACAGAATTTATGGAGCTTTGGAATCCAGTACAAAAGAGGAATGGACATGTCTTCAGGTTTTAGAGTCAAGTCAAAAAGTAGACCGTATTGATTTATGGTTTTGGCAGATTTCTTCCTCAGTTAAAATGCTGTCCTTATATGTAGCATTATTTGATATGTCATCTATACCAAGTTCTTTGATTAAACAGTCAATGAAGTGACGCTTACATATAAGGGTATGTTATTTGAGGCCTTGTCAGTGTGAACAACTACAGACGTTTCCTGTAGGGCAGTCACACTTTGGATGACACCTGGCTGGGACAACAATAGCTCTTGTGCCACATGTTCACACGTTCCTGTTATGTTGCTAAGTAACACATTATTGTGACGGAACTAGAAGAAACAACATCTTCGTCATCAATGTATTAGCTGTGTAGATATATTCACATACACATTTACGCATGAGATGTGGTCTCGGGCATTATTCTTATAGTTGCCAGTGTTGAGAGATAATAACCCCCCCCAAAAAAACAACAACAAAAAACAAAAAAAACACACCAAAAAAACACCCAACATGTTTTCGTTTCATGTAACATAAACAATTCATATAAACGTCGCATACTTCACGGAAATCATGTGGCATTCGTTGCACGTGCAGTCGTCAGTGTAGGCTTTGCGTTCGTTGGAGGAAGACACACTTAACCTTCATGGTCGAAGACCAACATTCGCCGTCTTTATAGATACCAGTTGGACCAAAATTCGTGGTCTTTATAGAAACTTGTTGGACCAATATTCGTGGTCCTTGTGAATGTAAAGTGTGTAAAATATTGTACGATGAGTATATGGACAGTGGATTGTTATTAATGAGAGACGGTCTGCATCACTCGCCTTCACGTATGCCACCCCTCCTGACCCCCGGTGATGGGTGGTATAAATACAGCTGTTTTTGCAGAAGACAAGAAAACCGTCATGAATACTTTCAATGAATGACATGGTTTGTTCATCAAGCCCACGTTCACTTACAACGAATATAACAGTGCTATCTAGTCTGGCGCACAGTTCGCTTGTTCCATACATTATACCGAGTATGTCCAAGGTTGCAAGGCTAAGCATGAATACGAGTAGGATGAGTACATTTGATTCACATGTCATGTTTAGTAGTAGTCCTTTCTATCAGCTCCATTTGTATCATAGGTGTAACGAGACCTTGTTGGTATCATTCTCTGCAGTTAACGCTTTGAGGCCAGATAGTTTCATCAGTGAATATCACCTTTGCACGTTGGTTGGGGACATTGATACGTATAGTGTGTGGGGGGATACGTCCTTCCCAGTGTTTGATATAGCTGAATGATACACGTCCTTTTTTTTGAATTATCAATGATGGCATCCTTCACTTTCGCCACGAATGACGCTAATCCTGCCATTTGGTTATCTATCGAGCCTAACTATGCATCAATGGGACCCTTCTCATTAAGTGGCGACTCTGACATATTAGCAAGTATTGTTGACAGGCTCCTGTGATTGATACTGACTTAAGATCAACACGATTATTGTAGAAACCCACTTGGCCCCATGGGGACTTTTTCTTTATTACTTTATATTTTTTAATGACATAATTGACAGTTCTCCTCCCTCTTAACACAACGAAATACACAACAGATTGGGATACTGACTGACCGCTGTTTATTCTTCAATACATATCCACATTATCATCAACGTCGTCAGCATCATGACCATCAACACATTGTAATTCGTGTGCGCAAACTCATCAGAGTATGTCTCACATCCATACTGTCACAACTGGAGTGATCGAGATTTGAACTATGGATACCGATCCTTCTCACAACGTATTATCATGGCTGGACAGCACAACTTGCAAACAACGCATAACATCCTGATCATCATATGCTCAGCAGCAGCTACTTCACACATAAAAAATAATATTTTTTTTATCCGTCTTGTCTTTCAATCGGCATCATACATAACTGAACATGTTTAATATAGCCAGTCCCGAGTGCACCGCACCTGAGAATGAAGTTTCGACTTCGCGCCTTTACTTATATACCTTTGGGACCAAGTTACCTCCCTTTGTTGTGCTTTCCGACGTTAGGAGAAAATAATTTCGTTCTAATTCGTCCCTTAAATGAAAGAAATTATATTTTTATTTTCTAGTTTCTCAACCTGAATATGTCCTTATGTTACAGTATGATAACGTTAAATGTAGCATCAACACAAGGGGCGGTGGCGTAGCCTAGTGGTTAAAACGTTGGTTCGTCACGCCGAAGACCCGGGTTTGATTTCCTACATTGGTACAATATGTGAAGCCCATTTGTTGTGTCCCCCGAAATATTGCTAAAAGCGGCGTAAAACCATTCTCAATCACTCACTCAAAACAATTTGTCAGAGATGACGAGCTAGACAACATAGAAAAGTGAGCACATCAAATTTTTTGCATCGATGTCACAGCAGGTAGTGAACAGAATATTGCATCGCTTAAGATATACATAGTGATGTCACTGATATACTTTTGTTACTATATATGTGCTGCTGATATCTACGAAAGATAGAATAATTGTGAACACACGTCATGATCACTGATCTTTCTGACATACAACACAATTGTCCAATTGACATTCTTGAAATATACTTATAAGTCAAAAGTAAAGAAACTCTATATCTATTGCAGACAGACAGATACTTTATTCAAGTCACACCGCAATAAAATACAACATTATTCATATACAAAATACAACAGGCAGGGCCACTCTATATGGAGTGAAATATTGATGGAATTCTACTGCTACCTCGACCTTTGCTGTTTGATATGCTCCTGTGTATAATAGCGATACAATCGAGCGGTGGACGGGGCAGGATCCGCACGCGGAACTTATGGTATCATTGCTACTTGATAGTGATTCATAAACACTAGAAGTAGGAATCGTACAATGGACACTGCTTTTAGCAAAGGTTCTTAGGATTATGGAAAGAAAAAGATGCGTTTCTGAAGAACAAAAACAGTGTGATCACGTTGGACGCGACGTTAAACCCAATTTCACCTCACCTCATATTCCTTTGTTTATTTTATATAAAACAAAACAGTTTAGAAATCTGTACATCATAAAAAATTGTGATGTATTCACCTTGGTTTACCCATAGTTGATGAGTATTTGATTTGCTATGACTGTACAGCGATAAACAGTGATGGACCTCCAGCTAGTATGTAGATTGTTGTCATGCGTCATACGCACGTCAAAATCAGGTCATTAACACTTGAATGTTGTGAATGGAGATTTCCTACCATATATATAAGACGGCTGGTTTACTGTTTTCTCAGACAAACTGATATTGTCTTTGAAGTTCTTTTGATGATGGCTAATAGAGGAAAGTCGTTTCACGTCGCTGGCAATCAGGAGAAGGAAGAGAACCTGTGCCTTGTAGTCCTTGGAGCCTCTGGAGTAGGCAAGACAACCATTATCTCTCAATTCCTGGACCACAATTCTATTACAGAGTATAAAGGAACGTTCGAGGAGATCCACAGGTGCAAATACGACTCATCAGGATTGGACTTGACAGTAGAAATCGTGGAAATAATCAATGGGGATGCAGTTCCAACTGTAAGGAAGCAGGCTATTGCAAAAGGGGATGCCTTTGTTCTCGTTTATTCCGTGGATGATGCCGACTCTTTTGAGCAAATTTACACCTTGCGAGATCTCATTCTGGAAGAAAAGAAGGAAATAAATGTTCCAATTTATGTGGTTGCCAATAAAATAGACATTGCAGAAGAAAGGAAGACACCCATCTGGCAGGTCGCTGATGCTATTGTGACAATAGATTGGGAGCACAAGTACTCTGAAGTGTCAGCTGAACACCCATCGCAGATTGCTGAACTATTTGGAAATGTTATTGCTTATGCTGTCTCAGTTTATAAGGAAAGGTTTGTAATGCAACCGAGACGAATGACAACGCCTGCGTATCTCTTCTCACTGATGAGGAAGAAGCTCTCTGCCAGGAGACAAAAATCAGCTTTTTGAACATGTTTAAATGAACATTTGAATGAGTGTGGTTCATGGGGCTTCCAATGTACATTCTCATGTTAAGATGTCTTTCAAGCATTTGTTATTTTAACTCTTGTACTTATGTATCTCTGTGTAAATATAATCCAGAGGAGTAAATGATGTGATTCTTAACACTGTTTTCATTTTGATTTTTATGTTTCTTATCATTATTGTGAATTACTTCAGGATGTGTCTCAATTTTATTATACATTGACCCCGTTTATATCAGGAAGGCAACATTCTAGCTGTTATTAACCGTTTGAAACATTTATCCAATGTGTGAAGCCAATTTCTTGTGTCCCGCGAAATATTGCTAAAAGCGGCATAAAACCATTCTCAATCACTCACTTACTCAAAACAATTTGTCAGAGATGACGATCTAGACAACATAGAAAAGTGAGCACATCAAATGTTTTTGCCTCAATATCACGGCAGGTAGTGAACAGAATATTGCATCCCTTAAGATATACATAGTGATGTCACTGATATACTTTTATTACTATATATGTGCTGCTGATATCTACGAAAGATAGAATAATTGTGAACACACGTCATGATCACTGATCTTTCTGACATACAACACAATTGTTCCAATTGACATTCTTGAAATATACTTATAAGACAAAAGTAAAGAAACTCTATATCTATTGCAGACAGACAGATACTTTATTCAAGTCACACCGCAATAAAATACAACATTATTCATATACAAAATACAACAGGCAGGGCCACTCTATATGGAGTGAAATATTGATGGAATTCTACTGCTACCTCGACCTTTGCTGTTTGATATGCTCCTGTGTACAATAGCGATACAATCGAGCGGTGGACGGGGCAGGATCCGCACATGGAACTTATGGTATCATTGCTACTTGATAGTGATTCATAAACACTAGAAGTAGGAATCGTACAATGGACCCTGCTTTTAGCAGAGGTTCTTAGGATTATGGAAAGAAAAAGATGCGTTTCTGAAGAACAAAAACAGTGTGATCACAGGTCACGCACAGCAAATACGGACACATTTTAAATCTTATTTGAATAAGTGAAAAGTACTGCCTTTGGAAGAAATTGAAGTTTTCTTTCGTCTGCCGGTCATTATCAAGAAGTGTACGAGAAAACAGTTTATGATAACCGAGAAGGTGATAGAAAGGTTCATGACAGCCAAAGATAGTTCGATCCAGTATAATCGAGTATGTTACGAACAAATAACAGCCATTTGTAATTTCTACCAATATCTCTCGCGTCTCTAAAATTCATGGAATAAAAAAATATGAAAACTGTGTACATTCGTCAAATACAATTTTGAACAAAATTCAAACACATATGTTTTAATATATACTCACACGCAAAAGAAACGCAAGTCGAGTTTGCAGTAAACATGTTATTTATTTAACAGTGAAGACAAGAAATACTAATGGGGCAAGATTGACAATAATTTGACTGAAGACAGTTTAATGGATTAAAAGGCAGATGACATAATTGTTTTTTTCAAATGTTAAAGGCTTACACAGTTTCGGGTCAATACCCAAAATGTCAGTCAGTACCTGGTGTGACCACCATTAGCACTGATCACTGCCACACATCTCCTGTACATTGAGTGAATCAGACGATTTGTTAAGGCCCTAGGGATCCTCCTGCACACACCCAGAGCAGCTGTGCGTAGTTCATCGGCAGTTGTAGGGACTGGGCGCACATTGTGCAGACGCCTTTGAACCTCATCCCACAAGTGTTCGATGGGGTTCAGATCAGAGCTGAGGGCTGGCCACGGTAGAACACGGATGTTGTGTTGTTGCAGAAAGACCATGGTAGCTCTGGCAACATGGGGACGAGCGTTGTCCTGCTGGAAAATGCGTTGTTGATGTTGTGCAAAAAATGGAACAACGTGGGGTCTGATCACTTGGTCGATATACTGCTGAGCAGTGACGCCGTGTCCCCGACCTTGACCAAAATTCAGAAAGCACATGGGTCCAAGTCTCGCATTAAGTCCAATCCCTGCCCATATCATGACGCTAGGTCCACTCCATGGAGCTCTTTCCACAACGTTTCTGTCAGCGAAACGATCACCTCCACGCCGCCAAATTCTGACTCTTCCGTCTGCATGGGAGACACAAAAGCGACTTTCATCAGCGAAGATGACACCACTCCACTGACGATGAAGTCGTGCTTGTCGATGCCGGGACGACAGGACGACGTGCTGGTCGGCGACATCTTAGGTTGTTGGAACGGAGACGTCGGATCACAGTGTCCCGGCTAATGTGTCGATTATGTGTTCCTATGGTCTGTCGATCACTTTCACTTGCAGTTAGGAACTGATGTCGCTGGTGTTGACGGGTAATCTGCCGATATTGTCGAGGTGTGGTTAGCCTAGGACGACCGCTCCGAGGAAGGTCATCTGTGGTCTGTGTAGCATTGTATCGATGCAGGAGACGGTAAATTGTGGTTATGTTAACGTTGAAATGACGGACAACATCTTGGACAGAATCTCCAGCTTCCAAACGTCCGATAGCCTGGTTTCTCTGAATTTGAGTTAGGCGTGGCATTGTTGACAAAGGAGTGGTAGGTCCAAGAATCGGCCACAGTTTTATACCCACTACAGTTCGTGACAGTTCGTGCATTTTCGATTTGGCGAGAAATGGGTGCATGATACCCACATATTCCAAAATGCAACCAAACATATCAATTTATTGTTTCGTGTTTGTTACCTATTTGCTTAAAACCACTTGCGTTTCTTTTTCGTGTGAGTATATATATCCACATGCTTGCTTCTCCCAAGTTCCCCATATATAACATCGAAAGAGAAGTACTCTTCTTAACTGGTAAGTTATAGGGTCAGTATTCTGTGTCTGGGTGGAGTATCCATGTTAATGGTCGAGTACTGGTATTTGTAAGTTTGAAAGTGACATATTTTCTATGTAAGGAAATATCGAGATGTTAATCAATTTATTGTCAATCAATAAACGTTACGATACAATTCCTCACAGTTATCGAACCTGGCGTCGTGCACTACGTTGCTGGGATGCATGCGGTGCCAGCTGTAACATGCGGAACCTGAGTGGACATGGACATTAGGCATCTGGCAGCCACATAAACACATTGTTGTGATCTGTCTCAAGACGCACGAGAAAAACAGTATCTGCTCAACTGTTTCAACGATCTCACCCCATGTATCAGACACTTTAAAGTCACAACTTCCACGGATGAGTTCTCCCTCTAACAATTGCTTGTTACCCAAGTGATGAAATGGATTAGTCCCGTTCATACCCATTTGTCAGATACATGAGAATATTAGACTTATAATAACTGTCCCTGACTAAAACATGCTATTCTCTTGTGTTTTTATGAAACGTTTTTCATTTCTGTACTGCAACACTATCAATAACATAAGGAAGAAAATTCATGTAAGTCAACTTCTTTATTATGAGGAACACAACGTTCTGGAATGTATGCTCACTCCTTCATCGGATGAATATTCCTCAAAATACAGAAATTGACATCCATAAATTCTGTTCCTCGTGTGTATCACTTTTAGATGCCTTTCAAATGCTATTGATAAGGTATATAAGATAATAGAAGCCTATTGTTTTCATGTTGGTATTGCCTCTTACTTTGGATGTAATTGGATGTTCATTCTGCTTTAAACACATTTCTTTGTTGCCGCCTCCGTAGTCTTGTGGTAGAGCGTCCGCCCGGAGAGCGGAAGGTCTGGGGTTCGATCCCCGGCCGCGTCATACCAAAAGATGTTTAAAGATTGTACTTGTTGTTACCCTGTCTGGGGCTCGGCATTAAGGAGCTAAAACAAGGACTGGTCGGTTCGGAGTCAGTATACTGTGTCTGAGTGGGGTATTCATGTTAAACTGCGGCATGGTATCTCAGTGAGCTAGCACCATAAATTGGCATCTGTCCGGACTAGTACAAGCGGCCACGCAAACACGTGCATGCACGTCGCTTTATAAGTGCAATAATATCGTTGGACGCGACGTTAAACCCAATTTCACCTCAACACATATTCCTTTGTTTATTTTATATAAAACAAAACAGTTTAGAAATCTGTACATCATCAAAAATTGTGATGTATTCACCTTGGTTTACCCATAGTTGATGAGTATTTGATTTTCTATGACTGTACAGCGATAAACAGTGATGGACCTCCAGCTAGTATGTAGATTGTTGTCATGCGTCATACGCACGTCAAAATCAGGTAATTGACACTTGAATGTTGTGAATGGAGATTTCCTACAATATATATAAGACGGCTGGTTTACTGTTTTCTCAGACAAACTGATATTGTCTTTGAAGTTCTTTTGATGATGGCTAATAGAGGACAGTCGTTTCACGTCGCTGGCAATCAGGAGAAGGAAGATAACCTGTGCCTTGTAGTCCTTGGAGCCTCTGGAGTAGGCAAGACAACCATTATCTCTCAATTCCTGGACCACAATTCTATTACAGAGTATAAAGGAACGTTCGAGGAGATCCACAGGTGCAAATACGACTCATCAGGATTGGACTTGACAGTAGAAATCGTGGAAATAATCAATGGGGATGCAGTTCCAACTGTAAGGAAGCAGGCTATTGCAAAAGGGGATGCCTTTGTTCTCGTTTATTCCGTGGATGATGCCGACTCTTTTGAGCAAATTTACACCTTGCGAGATCTCATTCTGGAAGAAAAGAAGGAAATAAATGTTCCCATTTACGTGGTTGCCAATAAAATAGACATTGCAGAAGAAAGGAAGACACCCATCTGGCAGGTCGCTGATGCTATTGTGACAATAGATTGGGAGCACAAGTACTCTGAAGTGTCAGCTGAACACCCATCGCAGATTGCTGAACTATTTGGAAATGTTATTGCTTATGCTGTCTCAGTTTATAAGGAAAGGTTTGTAATGCAACCGAGACGAATGACAACGCCTGCGTATCTCTTCTCACTGATGAGGAAGAAGCTCTCTGCCAGGAGACAAAAATCAGCTTTTTGAACATGT